AACGTACAGGGGCATCCACATTATTCTGAAGAAGAAAATCTTACTGGAGTGTGATGTCTGTTGGAGTAGGGGTTTACTAAATATAGTCTTTGTCCTTTTTAATATAGTGGTCGTCATCAATTATCATGTACTCCCACTTGGTTGGGCTAATCTAATTTATCGTGTCACATGGTGTAATAAAATATATCCAATCTTAATGTCAGCCAATCTTGATTAGTAATAACTTTATTCGTCCTTGTGGCTAAGCTAAAGTGATTCTTCTTTATTTTAAGTTAAAAAACCAGTACGTACGGTAGAATCTTTTATGACTTCATAACAAACTCATTCGTGCAAGAGCTCTTACTTGGCATTGTACAGGGTGTCCTAGCCTGAATGTATTACTTGACTTTTCCAACAACTGTATAACTTTGATGATCCATAAAATTTGAATTTTGTATTAAATAATTTGTAGAGGAATCAAATAGGTATTTGATTCTGAATTGCAAGGGGATTCCAAACTCACACATCTCTTATGTGGTGACGGAAAAAAAAATATTAAACCAAGGCCAAAATAACAACAGGAAAATGCGCAAACAGAGGTGGCATCTTACGGTCAAAAATTAGGGTGTGACAAGAGCATGTAAAGATCCCTAGAGTCAATGATGTATCTGAAGCTATTCATGAATCAATGAGTGTGAAGGAACCAGTGTCACAAGGGAGTGCCCAGGTGGTCGAGGAAGAAGTGCAGCAAAAGTTGGTTTCTTCTGAGGCAGGTAATGTAGATTGCTACTTATGTCATCGTATTTTTGTGTGGTGGTGATGGTTATATATGCACATGTGCTTCTTGATTATGATTTGGTGGAAAATGGATGACAACGAAATGCTTTTTCTTGAATAGCTTTAGTTTATTTTGTTTGTTGATTTTCTGTTAGGGTATTCTCATTTGATTTTTTGACTTTGCACAAAGAAAAAGAAAAAGAAGAAAGTCTGGATGCCCGCAAATGATAAATCTACTGTCATGTCTGTGACATTTATCTCAGTACCTGTAAAAAAAATTATGAATTTGGATTTGTTTAATGTTGCATTTAGTGGACCAGGGAAATGCTAATATTTTTATCCGGGCAGTAATTGCAAATTATTTTGCTTATCATGCAGATTTTCAGTGGAAATCCCCACATGATCTTGGGGCTGAGAACTATATGATGCCAATGGGCCCACCTCCTGGTTATAACCCTTACTGGAATGGTATCCAGCCTGGTATGGATGGATTTATGGCACCATATGCTGCTGCTGGATGGATTTATGGCACCATATGCCAATGGGCTGAGTCGTTTTTGGCTTTTGTAACGGAGTTACTTTGCTTTTCTCAGCCGTGAGTATGAAATCCCGGTAACAACTCAAACCAATTTCTCTATTGCGTAATGTATCTGATGTTTTGCTGCAAACTCTGTTGGATTGTTTTAATTTTCATTGTTTCAATTGTTGTTGTTGTTTGTTAATTTCTTGGCATGGCATAAAGTCGTATCTGATCCGTGGTGTCGACATTATTCTTTTGATGTATTAAGGGGATACTATTGTTGCTGCTGTGATTTTAAAATTCTGATGAACCATGTATGCATATTGTTATAGTATGATGCAGACTGAATTGCTAGTTGTGATACGCTTCTCAATTATGTCGATTTGTGGATTTGTTGTTTTTTCAATTTGTTGATTAATATGTGAAAGAATCTAGATACATCTTAAAGAGAAAGAACAATTTGACTTTAGCCTCGTTTTAGCCTATCCCCGACACCGACGCTACACCGACGCTAATTGGCTAGTAGCGGCGGTTTTTTGCCTTATAGTGTCAGAAAATGGTCGAGGCTAAATACAACATTTCTAGTAGTGTGGGGTGCTTCACTAAAATTTGTCAATTCCTTACAATAATATTCGTTGCCCTGAAGAAATTATGAAGCACAAAGTAATTTGATACTTGCAGGTTAAAGTTATCTTTGAGTTTCTAAAAAATGGATTTCAAGAGATCAGCAGCTCTCTAGATTTGTCTTTTGAGGATGATTCTGTTGCTGATGAGAAAATTCCTTTCCTTGCTTATCTTGCAAGAATTCTTAAAGATGATTCCTATTTTCCATATGAGCCATCGGCCGGAAGCAAACGCTTCCGCAATCTCATTGCTGGATTTTTGAAGACTTATCATCATGTTCCACGCAATAATGAATGAATAGGGTAGTGGTATATGTGTTTCAAAAACAGTAGAAAAGTTAATATTAAGTAACAGAGTTACTTTTGTAATTTCCAAAAATTTCTTCTGGATATGGGTGGCCCTATGTCATTAGATCAGATCTGTTATTTAAGAATTCTGGTAACAGAGTTACTTTTGCTGTGGCTATTTTTCTTTGAAATGTAACAGTTCTGACAATACTTTTTGTGTTCAATATAAGTTTTTCTTTTGGTTGTATGAATCTATCTTTAACAAATAATGCTCTTTTGTACCACCTGCAACAGGTTGAAGTTGTTTCAGATGAAAAACTATTGGAACTTTTGGTTGTGTGTGTGTGTGTCTATATATATATATATATATATATATATATATATATATATATATATATATATATATATATATATATATATATATATATATATATATATATATATATATATATATATATATATATATATATATATATATATATATATATATATATATGCGCTATCCCAAAAAAATTAATATTAAAAAAAACCAAACTTGTTAGGTCGGTTAAATATATCTGATTTAAGAAAAGAAGTTCTTACGTCGGGTACAAATTGGATAAGGGCTTTCTAAAAATCTAGACTTCTTAAGTCGGACGTAGTTAAACCGACCTAATAAAATTTTCTTAAGTCAGGTCCAAATCCTACTTAAGAAGTCAAAACTTCTTATGTCGACAATTCTTAGGTCAGTTTCAGACTCGACTTAAAAAGTCATTTTCAACCGACTTAACAAGCCTTTTTCCATTAGTGCGTGTGCGACAGCGGATCAACGATCCAACACAGCTCTGTGTCAGGGAATGCCCAATCCACCATCACTGTAGGAAGAAATGTTCCTCACAAGTCCTCCCCACATTCTCCACACGCTCCCCACGCGGGGGCACATCATCAGCTAACTACCCACGTCCGAAGGAATAGGTCTTCCTCTCCCCTAAGTTCGTGGGGCAGTTGGACTAGGAACAAGACCACCTGCAGGTCTTCCTACTGCCACGTAGGATCCTCGCAATCATTTGTTGTGGGACTTGCGATCCAGCGCAAAACAGATGACCATTGGCCCAGCGCTGGGGAGAAATTATAAATACCCTCCTCCATAGGAGGGTCAGGTATGCTAACTCATACTCACTTTGTACTTGCTCTCTCTCTCTCTCTCTCTCTCTCTCTCTCTCACACACACACACACACACTTCCTTCCTCATTTTTCCATCAGAGTGTCTTGCATGTACACCCCCTCCTCTTCTCCACCATCGACGAACTTGGAGCAAACAACATGTTACTGGTTGTTAATTCTCTTTCTGATCCGATAAGATTATATATATATATATATATATATATATATATATATATATATATATATATATATATATATATATATATATATATATATATATATATATATATATATATATATATATATATATATATATATATATATATATATATATATATATATATATATATATATATATATATATATATATATATATATATATATATATATATATATATATATATATATATATATATATATATATATATATATATATATATATATATATATATATATATATATATATATATATATATATATATATATATATATATATATATATGATAGATTATAAAAGAAAAATTAAATTAAAAAGAATAATATTTTAAAATTATAAGAAATTTTTCATCGATTAACAATCTCAACCAAAGTGAAAAGTGATTCGTGTTTCTTATCATGTTAATTAACATTCAAACTCAAGGGGGAAAATAAAAGATTTCACCTTAGTTCAAAGTCAAACCGATAAGAAATCTGAGAAATTTTTCTATGGTTAAACTCCCAACTAAATGAAAAGTGACTTATTTGCAAAAAAATTTGTCTTGCCTAATGGATGAGAGAAAAAGTGACATACTTTGTATAAATTTCTTGGTTACCTCGACATCCCAACCGAAGTAAAAGTCCTCAACCTTTAGAGGTAAGATGTCGTTTTTAGTGATTTGATAAACACTTTTATTGCCATGTAATTTCAGCTAAGTTATTTGTTTTATGGACATTCCATTACATAAAGACATTCCTCTTATTTAGGGATAGAAAATTTTAATGTTTTACTATTAAATTTATAATAAAAAAAAGGTTTTTTTATTTAACTAGTATGATCTTTGTAAAGTTTAATTATTTAAAAGAAGACTGTATGTCGCTAGTTCAAGTATGAGACAAATGTTTGTTACTGAAGCATAAAATGAAAGTTGGATTTTTTTAATAAGTAGAAATTGTAATATATATTAGAAAATTTATACTAATCAACAAATTACATGAAAATGCATAAGAATATATTATGTTACTATATTGTCTGCTTCTATACATTAAGTGATGTTTTAATGAATTTCCAAATATTTTATTTCTATATTGTTTTACTTCAATACACTAAGTTGATGTTTTAATTTACTTTTAAAGAAACTGTCAGTATTACACTAAGTTGATGTTTTAATTTACTTTTAAAGAAACTGTCAATATTTTTTATGAGTATTTTATACAACAAATAATTTAATATTTTTATCATTACAACTAATTAGCAGAATGATAAGAATGAACAAACATTTTAGTAATATGTATAATATATTGGATATGGTATATAAAATTTTCAAATCACACTACATTCACACAATTATTATACAAAAAAAGTCGACTCACACTACATTCACACCAAAAATCATGATAAAAAAGATATTATTCAAATAAAACAAGACTCATTAGTTTCAATCCACGTAGCAATACAAGACCACAAAAATCTCTAGAGATGAACACCCTTAACACTTGGTGGTGGAACCTTCTTCCAAATAACCTTAACAAGATCAACAAATAATGGAAACTGCACAGCAGCATAGAATGCGACAGGCAAGCAAATGGAAATATATAAATAGAACAAGATACCTCTCTTGGTATATTTATCCGTGAGCACAAAGAAATGTCCAGCACAAAAAGAAACAAACATAGCAACAATGGATACGAAGAGAGAACTCAAGCCAAAAAGAAGCTTCATTGGCAAGTTTCGACGAAAGTCTTCTACTTCTTTCCGAGAAGTGAGTATAGAAAGGAACATGATGAGTGCAGTAACAGAGAAGTAAAGTCCAATTAATGAAGATACAGCGAATCCTTCGAATGCTGGATGTCCTTCTAATGCTGGTTGTCCTGATTGCTGATTGCCACCAGGGACACTGCCTGATGTAGCAAAGGAGACACCAGCAATGAGAGCTGCGACAACTGAGCATGACTCTGATGTGTCTTTCAACCATTCAATACTGTTTTGTAGAAGTTCTTTGTGTTGCTCCTTAAAGATTTCACTGGGAGTTTTTCCATCTTTATTATTTCTATGATTGAAATGCTCTGGTACTAGTCCTTTTATGTACTATACCAAAAAATATGTGTTAATGCTTCTTTTAAAATGTAATAATATATAAATATATAGTGATAATAAATAATTAAACTCAAGACCGTTTTAAGTTTTTTGAGACAATAATTATAGATCCTATTTGATGTACCTTGTACCATTTGATGTCCCACATCATTTGCATTGCAGCACCAGAAATCCTCCAAGTATTTTCTCTTTGGATTGATGTATAAGCTGCCACGTGTAACACAGTATTCTCATTTTTATCAACTTCTAGATTTAGGTGTTGAAACACTTCTTTAGGTAAACTCTTCCACAACCACTTAATAACATGTGGTTGCCTATTCTTTACTGCCAAAAGCAATGCATTTTCATTGTTGGAGTTAGTCTCATGGGTCACACTTCTTATTTTTAGTTTAAGTGCTGACATCATCTCAACTATTCCATTACTTGCTGCAATCAAATATGCTGTGTCCTTTAAAACACTCTTCTCTTCTGATAATTCTTGTTTAATATTCTTCATTGCAACAAGTAAAAAACCTTTTTTATCAGATGTAATTGGTACTTTAGAATTAAGCTCTTCCATAATTTCTGCTAAGCCACTTTTTGCTACTGCCAAAAATGTTGCATCTTTTCCATCAATATTTGTTGAATCTTCCAATTTCTCGTTTTCCTTCATGTTTTGCATTGAGGTATCACCTTCAAATATAAAAATAGTGATTATTTATTTCTTTAGTTTTAATTATATATCTTCGTTATTCTTTTGCACATATTGTTATTTACCTTCTTTCCGTTCACGCTTGATAAACTCTGGAAAATTTACAATCCCATCTTCACTTTGTTCTTCCTGTTCTATGTCACGAAATGGATCAAACCCACCACCCATGTATGACTCGTAAGGATTTTTCATAAATTCTTCCAAAAGCTGACGACCAAATATGTGCTTCTTCTTAATAGTTTTTATTGCCTTTATGTCTGCAGAATTTATTGAGCAAAAGAGAAATGGTGACTTATGTATGCATGATCCAGCATTTATCACATTTTTGCACTATAAATGCAGACGCCGTCAATATTTTTGTTGCGGTAGTTTCCGCATCCGCATCAGACTGCAATTGCAGTGTGATTGTAAGTCACATTAAAAACCACATTATAATACTGCAACGGCCGCATCATAACGCTGCAACGACCGCATTTACCCGCATCGGCCCACAATAATAGATGGCATTTGAAACCTAATATATATAATAAAGTATACTATTTTATGTTGATAAAAATTAATTCACGCTGCAAGAGCGCAATCTGCATTGCAACAGCCGCAATAGCCACAACTGCACTGGCTGACCAAAGTAGATGCAAATGAAAACATGAAAAATTCAAGTTAGAAGAGTTCACTATACATACCCAATAGTGATAGGATTGGCCATCCGGATTCAAAATTTTGAATGTGGTGAAATAATATCTTAACACAACTAAAGAAATCTAGTTGAGCAAGAGTATTTCGTCCACTGTATGCCTTTTCTAATTCATCAACACGGTATAAAGGTATTGATACTTCACTATGATCATCTTTTTCTGCAATATTGACAGATCTTTAGTAATAATAGTGAGAAACATTAAATAAATAAAAAGTTAACTTTGTTATTTCCATTCATAAAAATTCTTATAAAAAAAATAGGAGAAAAAGCTCTTCTACATTGATAGTGTTATTAACTATACTCTCTACTATTATTGGCACATGAGTATCTGTTAATAGTTTTACTAATTTTAAAACACTAAAAAAAATAATGGAAAAGAGATCATAAGAGCTATAGTCCATTGAAATCATACCATTCTTTAAATTTCCTTTAGATATAGCCTTCTTTTGATACAATTCCATTGTAGTTTTTGCGTCCCGGAGGCTTACAGAAAAACCTTTGACACCAAAATTTTATAAAGAATGTCAGACATTTTGTTCATGACATTTTACAAAAGAAGTAAAATCAATGCAAGAAAATGTCATTTAGATTTCCAAAAGAGACAAATTTAACAAGAATTATCTTTACATTATTTCTCCTTTAAGAGCTTTTCTATTTAACAACAAACAATGCATAAGATAATGTCAGAAAAACAATCAATATATAAGATTAGAGAAACATAAGTAAAAGACAGTACGATCTTTGTTAATGTAATTTGGCCAATGATTTTCATCTCTGCGACTATAGAATATAGAACATTTATAATTTCCTTTATTATTGTCTAATTGAATAAGATTCTAATGTTTCAAGCCATATATAATACTAGATTTAGTTTACCTAAACTCTAATTAATCTATAGTTACCTACAATAAACACTTACCCATACTTATAATAATCTCTGTAATATGAGTTATAGTCAATAATACACATAATAATTTCCATAATATGATCCATACTCAATAATATCCTCCTTAAGGAATATCAAACTTTATTTAAATACTTCTTGCATAATAATTCATCTTGCAAAGAAGAGAGGTACACCTCCTATTTAATACTGAGAAATATGTAACAAGTCTAAATATTATATGAACTTGTTACGGATGACTGGCTTGGTCAACATATCAACTGAATTCTTTGAAATATGAAACATTCAATTAATATGTATCCATAAACAAGGACCTTTATGATCTTGTGAAACCCGAGATCAATGTGCTTGATCTTGGCATGATACACCTTATTGTTTGGAAACTAAATGGCAATCTAAATATGACAATACAAATGAAATCCACATTGCCCAACACTCAATTCTCTTTCTAATCATGTAATCTATGAGGCTTATTTGGAAGCTTATGAAGACTAAAGAAAAAATCTCATCATAATCAATAACGTTCTATCTTGATTACGCCTTTTCTATAGGACGAACCTTGAACTACTCCCTTTATTTCTCCATTACTACTGGTTTTCTCTTAAACGCCCACTTACAACCAATAACACTTTTCCTTTAGGAATTGAAACAATCTCACATGTATGACTTTTCTTCGTGTACTCTATTTCATCCATCATTGCCCTCGTCCACTTATCTTACTCCTGACTTGATATAGCTTCTCGAAAAGTAAAAGGGTTTCCAAAACTAGTAATAATTTCATAGACTGTCAGATCTTCATACCCATATCTTTCTAGTGGCTTGGTTGAACTATAATCTTTTTAACGTGCAAGAATATAATCACGTACTTCACATGAAACTTGAATTTCATGGTCAACTTCAATATCAAGGACTACCTGCATATTGCTTATTGTTGGCAGATCAACATCCACCCAAATCACTAGTTTGCTGGAAGTTTCTCCTTCAGATATTGATACATTTATTATAATTGTCATCTTCAACATTGAATGTTCATTAAAAAAATATATCTGTTGATTACCATCTTCCTTTTAATCAGATCCCATAACTTGAACTCATTCACACCTTTTACGTAGCTGACAAAGGCACACTTGTTTGACTTTTGATAAAGTTTGGACCTTTCTTCACCAAATATATACATATAAGTTGGACACCCTAAAATCCATAAATTATCAAGATCAATAGAATTAGTTGTTCATACCTCATCTGCGACCTTCCCTTCTAATGAAACTTATGGTGACCAATACATAAGATAGATATTCATGTTAACTGCTACTGCCTAGAAACCTTTTAATAGTATAACATTTAACAAGAAATGTCTTACCCTTATGTTAGGGACTTATTCATTCTCTTTGATATACCATTTTGTTGTGATCTCTTTAAATATTGTGTTTTTCATAGAACCTCTTGAATTCAAAATCAGCTTACTTTGCACCATTTTCTAAATGCCAATACTTGATTTTTATTCTTGTTTGATTCTCTACCTTTACTTATAATAACTTTAATAGGTTAATAACTTTAAATTTTCTATTTAACAAATACACACAAACCTGATGAGAAAAATCAACTTTAAAAGTAAAACTAAAAATTAAAAAGCTGGAAGCACCTGAAAAACCTCTTTTGTATGTCTCCACGTGCTAGAATGCACATAGTCTAAAACTCCCATTGTTTTGTGCTTTTCGGTCTTGAGCAAATCAGGGCACTACTTTCCATATAAGCAATACTTGCACAATTTCAAATTTCAACTACAAACATCCTTCAATAAATTTTTCTTATAAAATTCCATCATCCCATTCTCTTTGAGATGATCCAGAAGGATATGCCAAAGTTCGGTTGTATTATATTGGCAAAACCAAGAATTCTATTTTTCCCTTTGTTTTTGTTGTATTCTTTAAAAACTTGTATGTGTATCGAAATTGGTTTGAAAATATCACATTATAGCTTCGTGATTGGAAATATTATTCTTTACAATAGGTCTTAATATTAGATATCTTATCTAATGTTAGAATTTTAAGTGCAATGATGAAGTACTTGAAAAAATGTTAAATAATTTTCAGTTTCATATTTTTAAGCGATTATGTGTTTTTAATAACATTCATGTGTATGGATCACTTACAGTAGTATAGAATTTGCTTCCACCATGATAGTCGCCTACTTCCACTCATGAAGGCAGATGTCCTAGTAGCAAGAATTTCGAGAGGAGTGATGTCATCTTTGTCCTTCATAGATCCAAGACTTTCATAGCAATACATTATTATATTTGCCAAATCTGTTGCACAAGAAACATAGATTAATATTTTTGATAAAATCTACTGTTCACTATTATTTTAATTTCAATTTCTTATTGATAGAATATAACAGCATGCAATCTCCATTCATGTGAATGGATTTTTGTGGAAAGAGATCAATATTTAGAGCGTTGTTGGAAAGGGTGACCTTCTAGCCCTCTTCATATTCCTTGAAAAGTGTCTTGAAAAAAATTGATGTACAACATTGCATATTAGAAAATCTCTAATGATAAAATTTAATAAAATTTATTGACTTTTATATATTATTTAGGGTGGTGTATTTGATGTTTATACAATATTTAGTGTGTGTTTGAAATGTGTAATTGAGAATTTTTAAGAAATTTAAAACTCTAAAGAATTTTAATGATTTGATTAAAATCCATTTATTTTAAAAAAAAATTTATTTTAATGAATTATTAAAATGATTCATTTTTAAATTTTTAGGGTCATTTTTATAAATTTTACAACTTTTGAGTCAAATTTAAAATATGAAAAATAGGGATCAATTTGCAAATTTTAAAAATTTGAAGAGACTAATTTGTAAAATCATAGAGGCTTATTTGCAATTATTAAAAAAAATTAGGGGTGGAATTGAATTTTTTATAAAATATAAGGACCATCTTGCAAAATTTAAAAATTTAATGATAAACAATTTAGCAATTTTATGATATAGAGTGAAGAAGTAATTCTAAATTTCTTACTTTTTAATGTCATTTGAAATTCTTTAAATTTAACTTGAATAAAATACTTCATAAATTTACATCATTTTAACAACTCTCTATATTTTTTATCCAAACAATTGATTTAGGTCAAGTCATTTTAAATTCCCTCAAAAAAATTATTTTTCCTCATTAAAATGTTCCATCCAAACACTATTACGAAATACAACTTCGATAACACTCATTCTATTACGGCTAGGCTTTCACCGGAATGATATGTCTTAATTAACACGCAATAATTTTCTTTTATTTACTTATGAAATTTTTGATATAATATAATCACGGATAAACATAAGACCATGGTTATATAATCACCATCTCCTTTAATATTTAGTCATGCCTTTATTTTTTTAACATTTCTTTAACATTTGATACCACCACGGTTGAATAACTAAACCGTTATGAGTTGTTTTAAATATTTTAAATTGTAATATACTGACTTGCCAAATGTTTTATTTGTTTAACATTTAATCGCATCTTTTTATTTTTATTTATTTTTAATTTTTTAAAACATGAGATACCATCATGGTTTTTGAGGAAACCGTTGTGATATATTATTCATTTTGTTTTAAATATTTTAAATTGTAATACACTGACACTTTTTTATGAAATTTAATTTAGTAACTAACATATCACAATGGTTTACGTTTTTGACCGTGATGGTATCATTTATTCATTTTTATCAACCTAACTAGCTTGTCTCTTCAGTAGCCATTCTTTGTTGAGAAAGGATACACCATTTCAACCATAACATTCAGTGCTGAGAAATGTACACCATTTAAACCCTAATATACATTGTTCATCGTCATCGTTTATCATCATCAGTTCATCATTCATCATCATCGGTTGTTATAGTTTTACATTCGTCATTTATTTTCAACTCGTAGTCATCATCATCGGTTCATTTTCAACCCTATCACACCAACGTCAACGCTAACATCAACGTCATCGTAAAGGAGGATTACAACAACAATATTATATGTATCAACCCAAATATTCATATTTACTTAGTCATCACGTTTACGGTACATAAAACTTTTTTTACATACATTACAGTAAACTTTAGTTTCCATTGTTGTTGATGTTGTTGTTGTTGTTTTTCTGATTCTTGTTGAATGTGTGTCATAAAACTTGATTAATCTGTTGTTATTGTTGTTGTTGTTGTATGTGTCTATGATAATCTTTGAAAGAGTTTATTGTTGTTGTTGTTGTTTCAATGTGTATATGATAATAGATGAAATAGTTTGTTGTTGTTGTTGAATGTGTATATAATAATAGAAGAAATAGTTTCTTGTTGTTGTTTTTGAAAATAGATGTCGATTTTGTCGTATTCTTCATCTAGTGGCAAGAAAACTATGACAAATGATACTCAAATCAAAAAGAAAAGATCAAAAAGAGGTGCCACTATGCTTACCAAAGTTACAAAAGTTCAAAAATCTGATATCCAATTTCCTATCACGTTTGATTCGTATAATAGAGTAGTTAATGGTGAATACTCTTCTCTTTTTGAGAGTTATGTTGTCTTCCTTAAACGTAGCAAAGTTAGTATATTGATAGATGATTGAAAACAAGCACTAGCTGAGTTTAAATATAGCATATGGACAAATGTTAAGGTATTAGTTTTAATTTTCATCATTTTGATATGACCTTCTATAATTTCTAATACATTCTTATTGATTTAAATGTAGTTGACCTTTGAGCTTACGGATGGTGATAAACACTTAAAAAAAAGTGGTTAACTGATGCTGGTACGTGTCGTAGGGGCTTTAAGTCACTACTTATGTGTGACTACATTAGGAATCTTACAATTGGTGTTGAGCGTCCATGGGTGAGGTATAATTTTCTCTCGAAGAAGGTTTGAAAAAAGTTAGCAAAGGGTCGTCGTTTTAAGAAATTTCTGGTTAGTAATAGTCTTATTTATCTTGATAATTTGATGCTAATGATTTATAGATACTAATCATATTTTCACTATGTTTACAACAGACTAAAAGTCAAGCAGGAATTCAAAATAAAGCAAAAAACATTTACCCTCATAGATTGTCTCATCGGAGTTACAAAAAACTGGAGAAAAAATGATGGAGGAAAAACACAATAAATGAGAGATGAGGACTCCATTAGTCGTGATCGTAATACATCTCCATTGTCAAGACATGAGAAGTGGAAAAGGGCTCGACTAAGACCTAATGGAGAGTACACCTCTGATGCTTCAAGAGCAGTTGCTGAGAAAATTGTAAATATGATTTGTTGTTCGCATGTTATGTCTTATTTAAATATTGTGGCAATTATAATATTAATATTAGCATGCATTTTGTGTAGGATGTGTTGGTTGAAGAGACCCGTGGAGGCTCATTTGTTCCAGAACCACGACATGATATACTAGTCGAGGCTATTGGAACAGAAGAACATGGTGGGCGCGTTCATGGTGTTGGAGAAAGCGTCGACATTAGATTATTCTTTGGTCCAACAAAAAATAGTGCTGACAATGCCGAATTACAAGAGCATAAAGAAAAGTTTGTTGTTATTGAGAAGGAGTTAGAAGAGCAAAGGGATATGTTAGAAGTCGAGCGTGAAAGTCGGAAGAAAGACATAAAAAAGTTAGAAGAGTTATATGCGGTAAGAGTTTTATCTGAAATGTTAGTGTTTTATATGAAATGTGTGATATATTGTGTTTAATATGAAAAGTTAGAAAATAGAGAAATGTGTTTATCATGTATTGATATATTGTCGCAGAGAATAAATGGATCCTTACCACAACGCACAGATGAAAATGATAATAATAATAATAATGTTGATGATCAAGTTCCCCAAACACATGGGGTACGTCATGCTAGCACCAAAGGAAGCAATTGTTCAGCCGCCTCCGCTAAAGAGGTTAATGAGTTATTGGATCTTTCCATAAATGAGATTGACACGTTATACGTTTTAGTTGCGAAAAGTGATGAACCGTATCCTCTGTCTCTAGAGCATTTTTCATCGGTAGAGCTCTTTTATGTTTGTCCTAGTGATATTCGAGATTTTCTCTATGGTGGTAATTGGCTGGACGTAGGGATATTGCAACTTTGATGCATGTAAGTATATACTTGAACATGCATGTCATTATAGTACATTATCATTTTTGTATTTCCTTTACTTATCTTTTGAATTTTGTTTAACCATTTATTTACATTCATCGTGTATGTATAGAGTTAAATTAATCCAATATTTATGGCATCATGGATCCGTTTAGTATTCGATGGACAAATAATAAGGCAAAAGATATTGAGACCTACATTTCGGGGCGGTTAGGTTAAGGGAGAAAAGAATGTTACTTCACACCATTTCCCAATGCGTAAGTAATTTTGAAATTGTGGTTTATCTTTTATAGTTAGTTTTTTTTAGAAAATACTAATTATATATATACTCATTTTTATTTAGTGATCATTGACAATTGATCATCATATCTCTTAAGACGAATACGATAACGACATTGTGTTCATTACATCAACTACTCGAATTTAAAATGAAGCAAATTATTAATAAGTTTATGTTTATATAAAAATTTTAGTAATACATATTTTCTTTGACTTTGTAATTGGTTTAACTCGTAGAATATTTTCAATGTACAGTATTGTGTAGCGACACAATATGTTGAACAGTATTAGGAAATATCCAACATATATCTTGCCTAATGTAAGTGGCTATATTACTTGTGACATTCATTTATATATATATATATATATATATATATATATATATATATATATATATATATATATATATATATATATATATATATATATATATATATATATATATATATATATATATATATATATATATATATATATATATATATATATATATATATATATATATATATATATATATATATATATATATATATATATATATATATATATATATACACATATATATACATATATATATATATATATATATATATATATATATATATATATATATATATATATATATATATATATACATACATATATACACACACACACACACACACACACACACATATATATATATATATATATATATATATATATATATATATATATATATATATATATATATATATATATATATATATATATATATATATATATATATATATATATATATATATATATATATATATATATATATATATATATATAATATATATATATATATATATATATATATATATATATATATATATATATATATATATATATATATATATATATATATATATATATATATATATATAT